AATTCCTGAGTGTTTACAGAATAACACCAAACCCCAACACTGTTTCTAGAATGTCGGCTGGAGAGTTGATGTTCGCCAAGAAGAGTAAGTCCGTTTTCAATAAGTTATTACCACAATGCAAGGCGAGAACATCAAAAAATAACAATATAAGTAAATACTTTAAACCTGAAGATAAGGTATTTCTTAAGATGTATCCGCGCAAAATGAATTCTGGGAAGATGGCGTTATAAAAAACCGGATCGGCAAAATGACATACATGGTACAGAGACAAAGGTGGGAACATAAGCAACACCTTAATCAGTTACAAGACTCACCGATTTAAAAAAAATTCCCGAAAAGAGGTACCAATGGAAATTCTGTATGATATGTTTAACGTACCAACGCCATCAGAAATTGTTGAACCAAGGGTTTATGGCAAAATAAAAAGAATGCCAAAAGAATCTCTATTGAACCGAAGCTGAAGAAGTATAGACTCCAGCGGAAGTCATCTCAAAGGGGATATGCTATATAGGAATAAAATATCGCTCCCGACACTGGAGTTTGAACGCAGATCACCAGAGAGCAAATACAGGTGATCCCATTTTAAATAAGTAGATCACGTGATGGTAAAGGAAATGTATATATGGGAATTAGAGTGACGTCTAAGTGATCACTATACGTATTACTATTCGTATCACTATTCAGTGGTTACTATTCGAGCGAGTATTATCGAGCAAGTATTATTAGTGCGAGTGTTATTCAAAGGCGTCTGACACCAGTATTATTCAACGGCGTTACTATAGTTGTATCTGCGAATACAAAGTTTCTGCTAGAACGAGCGTTACGGAAGTGACAACGAGTGTTGACATTACAAAAGTGGCAACGACTGTTCGTTAACATCACAAAAAAAGGCTTTCCTTTCAGCTTGACTACCAGAATTCTTTCGGATAATTGGTAGTATCCTAGAATGCATTTCTTGAATTCTTGATCTAGTATCAATCCTACTCCTTTATCATTTTTCTCTCCAGCTGCATAAATAATCCAGTGATTGTCACTGACAAAATCTCCGTGGTTTGGCCATCTAGTTTCACATACACCTAAGATGTTGATTTTTAGCCTCTTATATTACATTATCTAAATGCATGCAGTTGTTCAACGTCCGATCGCTCCATGTCCCGAGAGTTATTTTTTTGTCTGCTGCGAGTAATCGCAAGATAACGGTCAGGTGACACCTGTCACTCATGCCGCTCCTTTCAGGGCGAGGGATAGGTTCCGAGGAATTTTACCTCCTTTACGCCGTTTATGCTAACAGTCGCTGGATGACGGTCAGGTGACACCGGTTGTACCTGTCCTTACAATGCGAGGAGGTAATTCCCCTTCACGCCGATAGGTTTCATATTGTGGTGTGTGTTATTAGCCATGATATATCTTTATATTAATAGTGGAGTGGTTTCCCGTTAGCCTCGCCACTGTGGTTTAAGGAGGCACCACCTCTAGTTAGCTGGCCGTTAACTCATCAAGAGTTCTTCTGCCCTTTGTTGGGTCGTATTTTTCGTCATACTGGCTCGCTAACAAGCCGCTTCAGTCGCAAAAACTTGGAGTAGAGTAGTCGGTTTAGTCACCGACATTTCGACTGTGGAATACTTATAAAAATTTTATTTTTTATTTAAAGAAAGAATTAAAAAAAAAAAAGTCAATTTAAATGTACGACCGTCTAGGTGTTGTTTTTTTTTTGTTTATTTACACGTCTTTTGAGGAAGGTGTATTTTTTTTTGTAAGCCGGACGGTGTGTGTGTGTGTGTAAAAAGAAAAAACTGTGCAATTTTTATGACCATTTCGGATCAAGATTTGCCGCCAAAATTGTTGCCAAAATCGTTTGACAAACTTTGATTTTCTTGTGTAAAATTTATGACCCTTTCGGATCAGGAATAGCCACCAAAAGTGAAATTTAGAAAGGCCTTTTTTCATATATTGGCCAATGAAAATTGAGTTTTCGAGGCCCGTAGAGATTCCTGATGGCCCCAAGTGGAGCCGACTTTTCCAAATAAAAGAGAGGACATTAAGAAACGAGGGGAGAAGCAAAAAAAATAACGAAAGGGAACAGAGGCAGAGAGACGACCCGCAGTTCGCAGACCACTTAACACCAACACTCTACATTGACCGGCAAGTGGGCCATAAATCAGCCTTTCTCCAACTACCTAACCAAACCAATCCGGCCTGCTGTCAATGAAAATTCTTCAAAGAAAGTAGAACCAACCTTTTCCAAACCAATCCGGCCTGTAGTCAAGGAAAATTCTTCTAAGGAAGGAGGTGGGTGCCTTGCGTTCTGCTATGTGTTGGTCTCTCTAAAAACTCTGTCCCTTTTTTTATGTAGTTTTGTAAAAGCTCTAAAACTTTGTCCCTTTTTTTGGTATTGTTGTAAAGGGTCTGAAAACTTTATCCCTTCTTTTGGTGTTTTTTGTATTTTTGAAGGGTCTGAATTTTCAAAAACCGGAGTTAAAGTAAACAATTATTAATTTCATAGCTTGTTTCTGTGGGTTTTCCCCTTTTTAGAAACCCCAGGAAAGTATTGTTATCCTGCCATGTTAGGCGCACAGAAGGAAATTTTTGTGCAACCTTTCTTGTCCTTGTTTGTAACTTTGTGATTATTGTAAAGTAATTGTACAATAAATGTTTTTTCCTGTTTTAAAATTTTACGCAGATTTGTCTTGTATTTTTAACTCGCGCCTACTAACGGCAGTTATCGTTTATTCTGCCAACTAAATTTTGTGTCTGGCACAAGGAGTTGGTAGCAGAGTGAAAAGAAAGAAGAAACCAAAAAAAAATTTTTATATACTTACCCAATATAAATATATATAGAGGGAAAGAGACGCCCCCCAATCTGTTTGACCCACAAACTTTTAGCCCGCAAAGTTGTTAAGGTAAAGAAAAATGATTAAGTTTTCTTTTAACTTAGTATAAGTTACTTTGTCCACTATTAAAACAATACGCGATTATCGAGCAATTATTTTAGGGTGTTTATTTTATAGTTGATTCAATATCTTTGGTAATTAGTAGGTAATTAGTAGGTAATTTGTGATCTAATTTACGAATTTTAATATTGCCATAAGGATATCCAGGTTGGTAATCGATCAATACCGTTTGGAATTTAACTCCGGTTTCTTTCTACGTCCAATGATAACAAAAGTGCCCACCCCTATCCGCCAAAAACATTGAATCAACTAAAAAATACAGTAATACGAATTTATACAGATTCTACGTTCTACCAAAAGAAGCATTTTTGCTAAAAAACAGTTCTTATTATCTCGGAAACCAGGTATAATGCTTGCTAGTTATTTAAAACTATAACAGAATGTCTGTTATGAAAAGCTGAAGGAATGAATTTTATTTATTTTCAATTTCTTATTTAGATTTTCATGTTTATTTCAAATTTATTGTCTAATGACCAAATATTTTCCACATCAAAACAAGATGTCAAATATGAATAGACGTCAGAATCAGACACAGAGAGAAAACATGTTTACGCAATATCTAATCTTTCATGAGAAATAATACAATCCTTAAATAGATAATATATTATTTACAGCTGTTATAGTTACCGTTTGAGCATGTGTTCAAGGTTTTATAGAATGACCTCAAAAGGGGGGAGAAGAAAAAATTCGATTTTCGAAAGTATCTGATTTTTCGTTTTATTATTATGCTTTCTTATTTATCTGCTCAGAAACGTTGCATTTTACTTGGATAAGGGACACCTGTCACAAAACAATAGTGTTTAATGAAATTTATTTAAAACCAGTAAAATCCATAAAAAAATAATGTCATTTTGTAACAGTGACATGTAATCTATTGTAATTTACAGATATTACGTAAAATATCCTGCACATTAATAGGGCAATTATTTCTGCGATTTTGTTTTTTCCGCACACACACACACACACACACACGCGCATATATATATATATATACATATATATATATATATATATATAGGAAGGGTAACAAAAAATTCTGGATTCGACTAAGACCAACAAGCCCTTTCCAACTAAATTATGATTTTTGGTCAAATTTGGAAACGTAGATGAAACCGATGACTTTTCAATACCACCTCGTTTATATATGGAAAATAAAATGTTAAAATTTCTTATGGTACAAGTACATATAGCATGATTAATAAAAGAACGAAAATCACATTGAATAAATTATTCATTTTGATATTATCTATTAGTTTTATTCATACTCTTTTTGATTAATAGGTCTTTGATGTCATAATAATAAGTAATTTTCGATTATTACAACAATTACCCTGTACGTTCGAACAACACCTTCTACACGACCAAATGTACGTTCAAAAATGTTTCTATTTCCACTATTATCGACACTAAGCGATAGTCGTCTTTACCTATCAGTCACTCTTCATAAACATTCTAAAGCAAATACAATTTACGGGATGTGTTTATTTTTATTCTGTGTTAATTATTTTCAAAAGCGTCTATTTGGTACGGAAATGTTATTTCAATTAAAATTATTGCATCTGTCGGAGTTACCTCCTCCTTCTGTCCTTGAACCAGCAGAGGAACAGGTCTTTTCGACCTTGACCTCTCATTCATACTCCTCACACACTGTTAACACGTCAGAGGGACTAGCAAATCCCCTTTTTTAGTTAGGCTATATTACAAACCTAGTTGTAATATACTTCTAGTCATTTTTAGACCATAGTTATCTTTGGCTAACCTTGTAGTATTTTTTTATAGAGACTTTTCGGTTAGCTTAGCCAATTTCTCTTGCTGGTCCCCCTCGACACAAGACAGTGATTTCTCCCAAGCTTTGGGGAGGCTGTCGGCATTATCAACGGTCGTCTGGACACAGGCCCCTTGGCCTTCATTGGACAAGGACGCCGATCAAGGTGGCTGTGTATTAAGGTTACGCCATTTTCTTTTTGTCTGCCAACTTGACGATAGTTGGGAAATTTCTTTCTCTCTCTCTTTGCCCCATAAACACGTCAAGTTGTTCTAAGTGGGGCAATGACGAACAACGAGTTGTCGGCGCCTGTGAAATGCGGCCGATTTTTTACAGCAACAAGTTGGCACCCTTGGCAACGACTCAGCTTCAACAACCAACAAAGATCATCCTGGCATCTCAACATGGGGAAAAACCACCAAGCGATCATCCTGGCAACAACCCACATCAGCCGAGGCCCCCAACAACGATGATCCTGAGCAATTTTTGTCCCTGCCAACCTCGACCATCAATGCCTGTCACATCTTGTTAAAACTTCTGAACGAGTATCCAGCTGTCGGCCTGCATCATCCGGCTCCTCCTGCAGTATCCAGGACCTGCAGCATCCGGCTCACGCTCCCAGCATTTGGCTCACTCCTGCAGTATCCAGCACTCCTGCATCATCCGGCTCGCCCTGCATCATTGGCATCCGGCAATGACCTGCAGTATCCAGAACTCCCTGCATCATCCGGCTCAACGAGTTGGCATCATCGAACTACTCCTGCAGTAGTTGGCACTCCTGCATCATCCGGCGCTCCTGCAGTATCCAGCAACACAAAACCCTGCAGCATCCGGCTCAACCCCTGCAGTATCCAGCTCCAACGATCATCCGGCTCGCTCCTGCATCATCCGGCTCACTCCTGCAGTATCCAGCACTCCTGCAGCATCCGGCTCACTCCTGCATCATCCGGCTCACTCCTGCAGTATCCAGCACTCCTGCATCATCTGGCTCACTCCTGCAGTATCCAGAACTCCTGCATCATCTGGCTCACTCCTGCAGTATCCAGAACTCCTGCATCATCTGGCTCACTCCTGCAGCATCCAGCACCTCCACCGTTTCCGACCATCTTCATTTCCTTTTCCTTTTAGAATAAACCTCTATATATCATATATATCCTCGTTCTGTCGTCCATATTGTTTCACGGTCAGATTTAACGTCTTCAAAAATGTTAGCGGGCCTCTTGTGACCTCGTTCACCCCTTTCCGTGATACGGGGCCACTGGACCGCCCGCTACACATCTGATCAAGTCAGAAAATGATTCTATTTTACATTAACAAAACTTCATAAAGATAAATAGATTAATATATGATAAAAATACATAATAAATTAAATATTCTGAAATAAAAAATAAACTTACGTAGAAATAAACAGAGAAATGGAACATAATTATAGGCGAATTGAAATATTTGTTAATATCCAAGAGCATGACCGAATAATACACACGATACGATATGCATTCTAATACATTCTATAGTGTTGAGAAAGACGTTTCATACATTGTCTTCTTAGAATCTAACCATAATTTATGAAGATAGAAACAAAAATAGTTTTACCATTATTCTGTTGAACGTACTGGTACATCTGAATTGAAGTGTAAAAATATCAACTTGCAAATTTGGATCGCATTATTCACTTTTTTACTTAAACATTTTATAGACATGCTATCTGAAAATTTTTATCTTATGCATTTTGCGGTTAACCGCAATCAAATTCGAAGAGATCCTGAGTGAAAGAGAAATCTGACTTTTAAAGTGGAAGAAAATGCTGATAATGGTCTGACAGGGCAGAGGCTATGATTTCGTCGTAAATCTTTTCTCTAAGATCATATAGCAGAATACATAAAAGGCATGTGGAAAAATAGGAAGAACATTAAGGAGACTCAAGTATAAAGAAATAAATAGGAGAAAATTCAAAAGAAACAATAAAGAAGAGATAAAACAATTTAGAACAATGGTGCGGAGGAAAGACTATAAAAATTAGAATGACGATCCTATGTGCGATTTTTAATCAAAATTCGATATTTGTATATTCCAACTTTGATTTTTATCTTTCCCTACTGATATGTATCCAACATCTTGAACACGTAATAACAATTTTAAGTAACCTTATTTTTGCATCCTAAAACTAGAGTTTGAGCTTCATCTGTTTTTCACTCCGATTTATCAAATCAAAAGTTCGATGAAGAAATATATAAAATTATGTTTATTGGCCAAACATAGACAAACAGTTAGACATTGCTCATAATTGTTCAAAACGCCTAATCGTACCAAAGTACCCTCGGAAATCGACACTTTTCTATGGCCTGTACTGGATTCCCCCTAATCACGTTTTCAAATTGTTGGACGGGATCCTCAAAGAGGAAGAAAAGACACGAGGCAACGGAGGTACGACTCTACAGAAGGATGCTAAGGATAATATGGACCGAACATGTGAGCAACGATGAGGTTTTGGAGAAGATGCAAACAAAGAGGAAGCATGCTTAACATCAGGAAGAGGCATCTGAAATTTCTGGGACGCGTAATGTGAAAGGAGGGCTTGGAAAATCTGATACTCACATGGCGGATAGAGGAAAAGAGGGACAAGGGAAAAGCAATGCGTGACATACTTAACAGGCCTGAGAAAATGGATGGCAGAACACGGTCTGGGAGAAATAACAAAAAACAAATCTTATTGAGAACTACAAGGGACAGGAAGAAGTGGAGATCCGTGATCGCCTACGTCCCGAGGGGGCATAAAAGAAGAAAGATTTAGATTTTCAGGTTTATTTCAAATTTATTGTCTAATGACCAAATATTTTCCACATCAAAACAAGATGTCAAATATGAATAGACGTCAGAATCAGACACAGAGAGAAAACATGTTTACGCAATATCTAATCTTTCATGAGAAATAATACAATCCTTAAATAGATAATATTTACAGCTGTTATAGTTACCGTTTGAGCATGTGTTCAAGGTTTTATAGAATGACCTCAAAATGGGGGGAAAAAAAAAAATTCGATTTTCGAAAGTATCTGATTTTTCGTTTAATTATTATGCTTTCTTATTTATCTGCTCAGAAAACGTTGCATTTTACTTGGATAAGGGACACCTGTCACAAAACGATAGTGTTTAATGAAATTTATTTAAAACCAGTAAAATCCATAAAACAATTGTCACTTTGTAACAGTGACATGTAATCTATTGTAATATACAGGTATTACGTAAAACATCCTGCACATTAATAGGGCAACTATTTCTGTGATTTTTTCGCATACACACACACACACATACATACACACACATTCTGGGCTCGACGAAGACCAACAAGCCCTTGCCAACTAAATTATGATGTTTGATCAAATTTGGAAACGTAGATCAAACCGATGGCTTTTTAGCACCACCTCATTTTTATATGGAAAATAAAATGTTAAATTTTTTTTATGATACAAGTACGTATCGGATGATTAATAAAAACTGCTTTATTACGTTCCTTAATGACAATATATGTGCAAATATGCAAGAAAAGTTCTTTTTCAAAATGGTGTCATGGTTATGGATACGTAAATCGTTACGTGATAAACACGTGACAATACCTCTTCTTTCAGACTTTTCTTTTCTCTTTCTCTCACCCCTTCCCTCATACTCTCCCTTTCTCCTTCACTCTTCTCTCACTCTCTTCTTCCCTCCTCCTCTCTGCTATAATACTTTTGTTTCGCACATGCATTTACCTGCCTTGCTAATGTCCGTCTTGCAAACTACGTAACATGATTATATTCATTACTTATAAAGTTAGTATACATTAAAGTTACTTAAAGTTAGTATACATTAAAATCTAGATTTCTACATTTCATAACCTGGTGATTAAACTTGCGTTGTCCATATGAACGCGAGATCAAGGTTCTGACTCTTTTTGCAATGTGTGCATTTTTATGGCGAAAAAGTGATTTCAGCACATTTCGCACAAATTTGCGTACGCGATATTCAACATCGCGTACATATCCAGCCCACCATGTTTCTAATCTTAAATGTTTCCGTGTAGCTTTAATTCCCCAATGGATATTATCACGCACACTTTCCATTACATCCTTTCTTTATTTTTCAGCTGGTACTAATGAATCTCCATTACATACAACACCATTTTCTACAGTTAACTCATGTCTAATTTTTCTGTATGGCCTTTCAGCTTTTGAACAATTATTCCATTTATTAGTTTTTATTTGAGATAAAATTTTACTTAATATTGGATCCTGTAATGTTTCAGAGGCAAGTCGATTTATCGGTAGAACGTCTGTTCCTACTCTCTGCAAAAAAAATCATATTTTCTTTCATATTTTCTAAGATGCTGTCTTGTTCCTTTTTAAAATTTAATCTGGATAATGCATCTGCATGGAAAATAGCATTTCCATTTACATATTCGATATCAAAATCGAAAACCATTAAATTTATGGTCAATCTTAATATTCTGGAAGATGTAATTTTCGATAATTCCTTCCATAGGCTAAAAATGAAATCTCGGGGCTTATACTCAGATTTCAAAACGAATTTTCTGTCCAAAAAAAAAAAAAAAATGCCGATACCTACTAGTGCTCCAAACTATGGCTAGAGCTTCTTTTTCTATATTTGAGTAATTAGATTCGGTTGACGTTAATGCTCTAGAAAAATACATCATTGGGTGTCCGTCTTGGGCTAAGATTCCTAATATCAATTTTTTACTAGCATCCATAGTTAATGTAACAACCTATTGGGGGGGTCAAAAAATCTTGATAACGGAGCTTTTTTGCAAGAGTATTTTCCAATTTAATAAATGCTGTTTGTTGTATATTAGTCCATTTAAATTCATTGTTATTTTTACGCAACTTAGCATACGTTTGAATTAGTTCTGAATATTTGGGTAAATATTTACTATAAAAATTCGCTAAACCCCAAAAGAATTCTAATTCTTTTTTATTAATAGTAGGAGATGCCTCAAATATTTTCTGTGTCAAACACGGGTCTGGCAAAATTCTGTCTTTTAAAATTTGGTATACAAGATATAATATACTATTTACATTATTCGGACTCTCGTCCTCATCTTTGTCGCCATATTTATTACGTTTCAGCCGTTGTACGCTCCGGCCTTCTTCAGGTGGTTGGAATGTCGAACTGAACCCTTTATTTCCAACCACCTGAAGAAGGCAAGAGCCTACAACGGCCGAAACGTTGTAATAAATATGTCAGCAAAGATGAGGACAAAATAGTCCGAATAATGTAAATAGTGTACATAATACCTCATCTCAAAAATATAGACAGATACTGAAGATATAATATTTTTTCACAATTAAATACACATTTATCTTTGTTAATAGTCATTCTAAATATCCCTAGTCTATTTAATACCTCGTTGTTGTTTTTTTTTTCATTGTATCCTAATGTCTTTATGCATGACACACCAAACTGTCTTAATTTTAAATGACTTTTGTATAGTTTTAGTTCACCCATTTCTTCCCAAATGTTTTCCGGAATCAGCGTTACATAGCTGCCGGTATCAAGTTGCATATTTATATTTACCCAATTCAATTTAATTTCCATGAAGGTATTCTTTCTTATTCTCCTTATTGAGAAAACATAAGTTTCACTTTTAAAGTGTCCCCCATTTTTACGACACTCTTTTTATTTTATTTTTTATTTACATACCGATTGAAAATGATTTTTCTTTTTACAATATCTATCGCCATGCCGGTCATTATTCACTGCTGGTTCAGGATCAAAATCAAAATATTTGCATTGTTAGTTATGTTTTGTTTATCATATATGTGTCTATATTTCGGATTGAATTTTTTCTTACTGAATTTTTCAATCTACTCTACCTGTTGTATAAATAACGGTATTTTGTTTAATTGCAACCGTTTTAACATTTTCTATCTAATGCGAAGTATTGTACCTACCTGCTAGCAGTCTTAGTTGCATTAATTTCTTCTCGTCGCATACGTTGAAATTCACAATATCCGCTAGTGTCTTGGTGCTGGTACAGAAATTTCATAATGGGTTCCTCGCATTCTTGTTTTAATGACAAGAACTTGGTTCGTTCAGCAACGACCAACCTTTTCCTTGGATAAATATTACTTAGA